TATAATTATTAGGGTTTTATTTGAAGAATGTGTAGTTAGAAAATAGGAAAAAAAATTATATTTACATACAAAATATTTTATTTTGTGAATGCGGAGTTTAAAATAAGTACGAGAAATAAAGAGTCAATCAGAGGATGTAATTCTTCTTTGATTATTTGATAGCTTAGAAGAGTAAGATTAACCAACCAAAAAAAAAACCTACATGTTAAGATACATTTTTTGTACACAAATATCGATTAAATAATTTAAAAAAATGAAAATCAAGAACTCAAGACAAAGTTACATCAATTTGTCAATTTCTTCTCAGTCAACGGGGTAGATTTTAAAGATTTATTGAACTTAGGTGCACCTCATCATAGACAATTTTCACTCCTAGGCAACTTCTTAGGAGTATTTAGAGATAACGCCACAGGTAATTTCTTGCTGGTTGACCGTCGGCAACCGTCACCGACCAAATCTTATCCATTAATTGGTCCCACGGGTGTCAGTTGCATTAATAGGTGGGGAAACCATAGACGTCAAGGAAGTTGATTCAGTGGGAATCATCCCTACAATTTCCTCACAACCAACTGCAATTTATGTCGATTGGCAAATCTCATGATGGATATTCTAGTCGGAAAATGCCCAGAAGCCACTTATGAGGATAGAAGGAAGCTTTTTGGAATTTGATTCATCGCCGAAGGTGGATTTCCCACTTTTGGGTGCACCTAGTAACACCACAATAGGGTTTGACTTTCCCTTTCTTTCTTCTTCATCTTTGAGTTAAAAATTTTAAAAAATAATAGTTTCGTAATAAAAATTTCCAGAATACGTTGAGAGGTTGAGAAAAATGAGGAGTAATATTGAGATGATGACATGATGTATAATTGAGTACATCACAATACTTTTTTTTTTTTTCATTTATACTTTCTATTGGATTAGGAGTATATTTGTAAATTTGTTGTGGTATATTTGTTAAAAATAAATTTTAATTGTAGTGTGATAATATTATTACATAATGTAATGTTACGGGTGTGCGAAATAATATACTAAACTAAATAGCGATTACATGACACATCAATTTATTAGCACATAAAAAATTAAATTAAAATACCGAGACTCATCATAAATTTATCACCTAATAAAATTAAATTCATACGTTATGTTGTCGGTGCTTAATATAAGTTGTTTGGACAATTTTCGCAAGTTTACGGAATTGTTGACAAGTAATAGGTTTGATGAGTTGAGAGTATCGTCCCATACAAAATAAACCTTAAATTGAATTGTATCAACTTGTTATTAAATTCGAATGTAAATAACAAAAGAGATGATTTTATTTATATCAAAATTATTCTACTAGTTATCTAGATGCATTTGAACTAAATATAATATGTATGTGTTGGAACTTTGAATCTACCTATTATTATCGTATTTCCAATTCTCAACTATGTAATTTAGTTTCATTTTTTTATAATCGATACTCCTACCGTATTTAACTTTCTTTTCCAAGATAAATTAATTCTATTCTAAACGCGACCCGGTCATATTTCCTTGTCCGAATTCGAATGAGTATAATGCATTCAATTACACAATTATCTAGGTGATAACGCATTAAATAACATGATTATCGAGATGATTGTACGCACGATATATACGTTATTCTTAACATCTATTAATCATGCAGTGTTAAACTTAATTATGAATGTTTCAGCATTACAACAAAAAACTAATTACCTGATTGGTGATAAATCAATTAAATAACGCAAAGAATATGCACAATTAATCAAGAAACATAAGAATTACCAAATTATTTGTCTTTGAATTAAAAATAAATAAATAAATGGTTCGTCGATCTTCATCCAACACAAATGAATCTAGCTCGACTTGTTTCTAAAAATAGAACAACAAAAAGAATAGAAAAGCATCACTAGAAATTTATAACTACAAGAAAAAGATGTTACAATCTAATTTTTGTTCTTGATCTTCGACCCTGAACTTTTATTCTTCACCTTCTTAATATTCATCCAACACAAATGAATCTAGCTTGACATGTTTCTAAAAATAGAACAAGAAGAAGAATAGAAAAACATCACTCGAAATTTATAACTATAAGAAAGAGATGTCACAATCTAATTTTTGTTCTTAATCTTTGACCCCCAAACTTTTATTCTTCACCTTCTTGATATTCTTGATTCAATCCACGTTCTATATTTGTTTATCCTCTTCAACGAATATTGAATTGACCCATCATTTCTTGATGAATTTTATGAACTGAATTTGAGAGAAAGAGAGAGATCCTCAATATTTTGCCCAAATTTTATATTTATAGGAGTCAAAAATTAGGTCAAAATCGCATTCAAATTGAGTTCAAAAAGAGTTTGAAACATAGAACGAAATCTGGCCCACCCCGACAAAAATTTCTCTATCGACTTCCATGCAGTCACAGACCTCACAAAATTTTTTGCCTCGGTTTGGGTGAATGGCAGTACGTGTTGTTTCATCTCTAAGCAATTGTCGATATTTTTATTATACAGTTCCGTTCTCCTGAGCGTGGCGCGCAGGAGAAGCTTATACGCTTTGCCTTGCCAAAAGGCGAGGCAAAGTTGATACCTTTTACATTTTTTTTTTTTTTTGTCTTTTGTTATTTTTTTTTATACAATTATGTTTGGTATCGAATGAAATCTAAATCAAAGTTAATAATTAATTTTAATAACATATTTCATGAAATCCATAAATGTTTAACTTTTATCAAAATTCACTAAAAATTTGATTTTAATCTCCACCAAACGGGGGCAAAATCAAAATAAATTTTGAATTTCGATAATATACGTAAACTTTAAAAATTCCCCGAAGATCGTACACTAATCGAATCTACAAATCACTTATATCATTTCGAAACTTATTTCAAAAACTATATTATGAGCATATCGAATAGCTCAAACAGATATCGAAAATAGTTAAAAATACGTCAAACGTGAGTCTTAAAAAAGAATTCTAATAATTGAACGTAAAATTTAAAAATTCTCCGATGATCGTACGCTAATCGAATCTACAAATTACTTATGTCATTTCGAAACTTATTTCAAGGACAACATTATGGGCATATCGAATAATCCAAATAAATATCGAAAATAGTTATTAGACGTCTTTTTTAAGACTCACGTTTGACGTATTCTTAACTATTTTCGATATATGTTTAGATTATTCGATATGCCCATAATATAGTTCTTGAAATAAGTTTCGAAATGATATAAGTGATTTGTAGATTCGATTAGTGTACAATCGTCGGGGAATTTTTAAAATTTACGTATATTATCGAAATTCAAATTTATTTTGATTTTGCTCCCGTTTGGTGGAGATTAAAATTAAAATTTTAGTAAATTTTGATAAAGGTTANAAAAAAAATTAAATGAAAAAAAAAAATAAAAAAAAAAAAAAAAAAAAAAAAAAAATGTAAAAGGTATCAGCTTTGCCTTGCCAAAAGGCAAAGCAAAGCGTATAAGCTTCTCCTGCGAACCATGCGCAGGAGAATGGAACTGTTTTATCATATGTTTCTCTCTCGATATTTGATTGAAGTAATTCAAAGTGCGTTGAAAATATAACTCAAAGGGATACAATTCTTCTAGAAACCATTCTATTAATTTGAACTTTTGCTATGCGAAAAATGGATCTCAATCTGAAGCTGAAAGTATAGAGCATGACTTGTGCGGTTAGAAATGGATTTGGTAAATAATTTGACTATATTTTACTCACTTGACTTCTAATTGCATCCAATTAATCTAACATGATCTTCAATCATCATTTTGTGATCAGAATTAGCTATTTATAGTTGTATTTTGGTAACCCGAACTTTGTATTTATTCAATTTTAGCCCATTTTTCACTAATTTCTTTCAATTCTAACAATTTACAAAGTTTTATCTAACAAACAAAATATATACATAATTAAGTCATAATTTATCAAAATTCAAAACAATTAATCTCATTTAACGACTTAGATAAATGTATAAATAAGCTAAGCGCTGGTGTCAGTAAATTATTATTTTTAGAATGTGATTTATTATTTAGAATTAAAAGAAATTTGTGAAAACATATTCAAGCAAATTCAAACAAACCGTGTAATAAACATCTATCAAGATCCAAATTCAATAAAATAAATAAATAAATAAATTCTCCGGATTAAAGAGGAACATGTCCATTAATTTTAACTTTTATGATAAATTTGGTTGCTTGAAATGCCTCCGATATTTGATTTATTTTGAAGGAAATTATAATTGAAAGATTGGTAGTAGAATTTAAATTGGATTTTATAATAAATTTAGTCGAGTAATACAGTAGGATAAATTTATCAAATTCAACATAATTTCAAAACGACTTGTTTGGCAAGTGTTAAAATTATAAATAATTTTTTATTCCTATCATTTTTGGCTTGGACGAGTCGAGTCAACTCAGCCAAGTTAAAAAATAATAATAATTCAGCTGCATGCAAACGCAGGCAGCTATGAATCTTTAAATAAAAATATTGAGTCGGCTCTGCTTTTAAAAGCCCGAGCCGAGTTCAGGTCGAGGCTAAAATTTTTGGACAAACAAAAGCTTGGCTCGGCTTGGGCAAAAAAAAAAATTTTGAATCATTTTTACTCGAGTCGAACCCAAGTTTCGAGTTTCGACTCATCTTGTTGACACCACTATCCTCATTTCTATCTATTTATAATTATTAACAATTTCCAAACGTGCTTTAAAATTTAAATGTGCACTGCCCACCGCGTTTCACTTTCATTTGGCGTTAACTCATTGTATAGACAAATATTTTCACGCCCCGCCGTTATTCGTCTTGTGAACACGGCGTTACAAAATTAACAGCTGGCGGCAGGACAGCTGGCGGCAGGTTCTGTCCCTTTCAACAACGCGAATATATATATAGATACACCAACAGAGAAAATATCTCTTCGCTCCTCGCTCGTTCTAGATTCTTGATTTCAACTTCAATTTCAATCAGTCAAAACTTAAAGCGTTTTCATAAAAATGGAGCAATTTTATTTCGAACAAGAATTCCGCGTGATGGTTTCAGCTCTAAAACACGTAATCGCCGGAGGAGGAGCAGATGCCGGAGGAGGAGAAATGAAAGGTTCCACGTCATCACATTCCGAACCACCAGCTGCGGAGAATGTGGTGCTCTTCCTCCCCGATTCACTCACGTGTCCCGCATGCAAAATTGCTGACTGTTTAGGCTGTGAAAATTTCGAACCAGCTCAAAGTTCAAGGAGGAATCGGAAGAAGAAGTACAGAGGAGTGAGGCAAAGGCGTTCGGGGAAGTGGGCGGCGGAAATTCGGAACCCGCATAATGCGCAACGGGTTTGGCTGGGGACTTTTAACAATGCAGTGGAGGCGGTTGAAGCTTATGACAGGAAGGCGATTGAGTTCAGAGGTGAAAAGGCCAAAACCAACTTCCCGTTATCTCATTACAACGTTGAGGCCCAAAGTTCAGAGAATAATCATGACACTGATGGATTAATAGAGAATAGAAAAATGGGCAATGAAGATAACAGAGGTAACGGTAGTGATGGAGTTCAAAGATTAGATTGACCAATTATACTGCGGTCAACATAGCTTCCGTCCAAACGAGGTACGTACGTCCTAAATATCATAGTTCTAACCGTTTTCTCTGTCTATTTTTCCTCTTAGCTATTCCAGGAGATACGCTGCCTATGGAAATAAGACGTCAATAAAACTCCATGGACATGTAAAGTTTTGGGATATGCTGGAAGAGGAGAGAGCCATGAACGGAATAATATATTTTGAAGTTTTAATTTACTAGCATGTAATGATTGTTTGATGTTCACGTTTGATTTTTCGCAAGTGAACGAGATTGTAAATGATCATATACTTAATTTAATTTTTTCGTAAGTGAACGGGATCGTAAATGATTATGTACTTCATTTAATATCAATTAATTTTACAACCATGCTACATGTACCGAAATGGATGACAATGGAGGATGACTGAACACTCACAATAGGGATTGTAACACTCCAAAAATTTTAGAATAAAAATTTATTTGTTCTATATATTATATTTTATTATTTTGAAAGTTGAGGGATTAAAGTGAAATATGTTTTGAATTCTTTTGTTTTTGGGTCAAATATTTGAATTTTGATGGAGTGATGATAAATATATCAATATTGTACTCGTTGAATAGCTCATATTTAATCATCCATTTTGGGCTCGAGAAAATGTAAGTTTGAATGAGTTAATCCCAAATTATTTCAATTCAAAGAAGCGTATTTAATATGTATTTTTTATTTAATAATGCGCTTTTAAGATAATTAGCAAAAGAATATAATATTTTATTGGGCTCGATAAAATATAATTTCATATAAGTTAAGCGCAAGTTATTTCAATTCAAAGAAATATATTTAATTTTTTTTATTACTTAATAAGGTGCTTTTAAGATAATTAGCAAAAGAATATAATATTTTATTATCTAATCACGTTTATCTTAATATTTTGAAAAAGATTTAATCACATCTAAACTATGTTTCTTCCAACTGATATCCACTAGTGTTACACTTGTATTGTATATAATATTACACAAAGATTATGCTAGATGTATACAATCATTTACACATTGGATTACACCCCCCTCACATTGAGGGGGGTCCACACACAATAAAATATTCGTGAGCCCCCCTCCATGTGAGGGGGGTGTAACCCCGTGTATAAACTACCGGGTGTACATCTAGCATAATCCATAATATTATGTTATATAAGCCATGTTTACTCTTTATCTTTAAGATGATTTGATATATCTAAATTTTAGTTCCAACCACTAATTGTAGCAAATTCAGTGTTTTGAAGGTGGTCGTGTATGAAAGGAAATTGATAAATATTTGAAATTTAAATCCAAAACGAATTCTTATCAAATTGGATATACACAATTTTTCATCACAATTATACTATGACTCAACTACTATTTTTTTTTTTTTTACTATAAATAGTGTGTCAATGTCCCACAATTCACTACCACAGCAGTTTTCATATAAAACAACTGTAAATTCTAAATATATTTTTATTATCAAAAGCTAATTTGATCAATCAATGTAAGATACTTTTTGTTCAAATTGTTTGTTTCCTTATACTTTTATATTCAGAAATTTATGCATGAATTGTCAGTGAACCTTTAGGTTCGACCTAACGAAATGTAAACACTTTTGGGTTCTTTATAATGAAATGTGAAATCTTTTGGGAATTCAAAATGAGAAATGATGGGTATCTCGCTTGGTCGCTGATATACTCTATAAAGAGAAATGTGGTATGAATTGTCTATATTATTGTTATATAATTGCGTATGAAAATTGTACGTATCTTACTGAGTGTTTTCAAAATACTCCCTCCTACAAATTTTTACAGACTAGATCGAGTCGATTGGAGCTGTGGGGTGCAGCGGACTGCCAACGAATTTTGACATACAAAATATTAAGTTTTACTACCTTTAAATTTAGTAGTTTGTTTTGTTCAATAACATTTATATTGAATTTATTAGTGGAGAATGTTTAAATTATTTTTTAAAGACACGTTTTTATGATTCAAATTTAAACTTATGGATGTTCCAATATTTTGTTTATTAAATAATTTTATCGTTCCACATTTTAAGTAAATAAAAGTAAATGAAATTAATTTTTGATAATACCTCAAGATGTATGAAATTTTGGGGTGTTACAGGGGTCCACTTTTTTTTTTTGGAATTTTTTAATAACACGAGGCCCCCACGCATGTGAGAGATTGTCAACCTCCATTGTCATCCATTTATGTACAGATGGAATTGTCCTAATGCTAACTGAACAACCAGATTGGTTGAGTATTTATTCTAAATGATATAATTATATTAACTAAACTAATTATGACGGTTTTGTCAAATGTGTTAGATGAACGCTAAAACTTCAAATTCCTCTAGTTCATCTAATTTTAATACAATTAAACATAATGACAATATGTACTTATTCATGTTGATCAATGTTTCTAAATTAATTAAAATCATCAATCGACGTCAATTAAGTCTATCTCTTCATGTGACTTTCCTATATTTTTATGAAAGATGCGAACGTGAAAATACGCATTTAAAATGCTAGAACATAAATAGAAAACATATAAAGTATAACGATATATCTCTATCCCGTATCTCTTGAAATCAATAAAATTTACATTTAGGTTGTGTTTGATACACCACATTTTTCAGGGAAGTTTTTCATTTTCCAAATTTTGTAGTGTTTGATGTCAATAATTTTCTTGACATTTGATTTTCCACATTAACTCCTCACGCGCCTGTTTTCTTAGATTTGGTTGAATTATTTTTCCCACCTTTTTGGTGGAAATGGAAGTTCTAGCTTTTTTATTTTTATTTTTATTTTTGGCAATGGAAACAAATTTCATAACTAATTGTAAAAGAAAAAAAAATCCACTTTAATGGAAAATTTTCATGTAAAATAAAGCCAAACGAATACTAAACTTTGATGAAAAAATGATTTTCTAAGAAATATATATATATTTTTTACTTTTTGGTAATAGAAATAATTTTTATAACTAATTGTGGAAAAAATTATCATTTTAACGGACAATTTTCATGTAAAATAAAGTCAAACGAACACAAAAAGATCCAAAATTTTAAATTTTTCCGAATGAAAAAGTATACCAATCAAACACACTTAATTAACAATTCTCTGAAAAACAAGTTCTAGACAATTACTTTCTCTGAAATTCATTTTCTTCACACCCTTGCAATCAAATGGATCCTTAAAATAATTTGTGATCAAGCAATTGAAAATGTATTAAAACTTAAAAACAACCATTCATAAATTCGCACATATTAGACGTCAGAATACTTATTTTATATTAAAAACTTCATAACTATGGTTCATTTACATCCTATCAATTACAAATTTGGTCTATCATATGGAGATTACAAGAAACATGTTAATTCTATAGAACATCACCCAGATTATGAATTTGATGAATAATGAAGAATAATCTTGATGTTCTTGAATTTCTTCAATGAAATCGTGATGATTTTTCAATTGTTTCTTCAATTCTGTCCAAAAATCGGATGAATCCTTCAGTAGCTTTAGTTTTGCACTTGCCCCTTGATTGTACCCCATAATATTACGAATTTGCCTCTCATTTGGTGTATGAATTGGTGGAATTATGAATGTAAAATGTGTATGAATGATGTAGGAGATGTGTTTCTAATGTATTATGTTGTTAGGTATTTGTAGGAGTCCAAAATTAGTTGAAAATTATTTCAAAATTGCTTTTCAAAAGAGTTTCAATAGAATAAGAAAAGTTCGCTTAATGCGTGTATGTTTATCTCTGTACAACAGTCAGTATTTTGGCTATAACTTTCGTTCTCGATATCCGATTGAGAAGATTCAAATTACATTAGAAAACTAACTCAAAGGCCTACAACTTTACAAAAATAAATTTTTTCAATTCAGATGTTACTATACCAAAAATGGGTCTCAATCTTCAACTAAAATCTGAAATATAATTTGTGCGATTGAAAATTGATTTGTGATAATAGTTTGATCATATTGCATTCCTTTTTAATTCATAGTTACATCCAATTGTCTTTTTGCAATATTCAAAGTATTGTATTATGGTCCGAATCAACTATTTGATATTTGCAACTTGGTCCTCAAATATTGGATTTCGTTATTTTTCGCCTTTTCTTTTAATTGTACTTCCAATCATCGAATTTTATTTAATAAATGAAATATACAATAAATTAGGCTATAATTGCTCAACAGAACTATTAAATATCTATATTTTTAGACCCAAATAAACACATAAAATACATTTATGTAACATATGTGTTGGGCATGATTTTATCAATGTTATAAAAATCAAACTGGATCGGACCGGACCGATCGATTCAATCGGAAAAAAAATCGTGAACCAGCCTCTAATCCTGTCCGGTACTTATACATTAACTGAAAAACAAAAAATCGGTTAATAAACCATCAACTCAGCCCGTTTAACTGTGAACAGAAAAACCAACGGTGATTTTTCGGTTAATCTAGTTAATATAATTTTTTTTTTCCAAATTTTTTAAACTATCTTGATAGGCCACCTATTGCGATAGAAGATCCAAATAACTTTTTTATACAAGTGAAATTCTTTTAACTCCTTTTTAAAGAGGATCCTTCTTTCAACGTTTTAGTAATCTTTTAATGTGGGATACTAGCTCCTTTTTAAATGAGGCTTTTCTTCCAATGTTGCAGTAATCTTCCAACATGAGATACTAGCCAATTGCCAATTCTAAGTATTTAATAGTTTACTTCATAATTTTCATTAAAAAATCAGAACCCCCAACCAGATTATAATCACAAACATTTTCAATTTGAACGAAACAAATTATTTTGGACATATTAATTGTTAGTTTTTGAGGGTATAAAATAAATTTCCATAATAAATCTAATTAACAAACATGGATTATATTTGAATTAGTAAACCAAAATTAAAGAAACTATTATAGTTATGGTATTTTATAATTTATTTATTTTGTCATCCGATTCGATATCGGTTCGATCATTTAACCCCTCAACCATTTTCCTTTTCTTAGTTGATTTTTAAAACATTGGATTTTATAAATTTATTGTGAATATATTTATGCTTAAATGATTATAGTTAATCGAAAATTATGATTAGAATACAAGAATCCGGCATTAGAAAAATA